GGGACAACCATTGAAGATAATTGGGAGGAATGTATGGGTTAATGCAAATAAAACATTTTACCTTGTTCTTGACACTCAGGAAGGGCCAAATAAATGTTGAATTGTATAATCAAAGAAGAACTAAAAAAAAAAAAATGGAGAGACAGTCCTTGTTCTTGGATAGACTTAATATTGTCAAGTTGTCAGCTCTTCCCAGCTTGATCTATAGAGTCAATGTACCACCAATCAAAATCCCAGCAAGTTATAAACTGATTCTAAACATTATGTGGAAAGGCAAAAGACACAGAATAGCCAATACAATACTGAAGGAAAAGAACACAGTTGGATGACTGACATTACCTAACTTCAGGACTTACTATAATGCTACAACAATCAAAACAGTGTGGTGTTGGTGAAAGAACTGACAAATCAATGGAACACAATAGAGAGCCCAGAAATAGATGAATATAAATATGGTCAAGTGATCTTTGACAAAGCTTCAAAGACAATATAATAGAGCAAAAATGGTTCTTTTCAACAAATGGTGCTGGGACAATTGGACATGCATATGCAAAAAAAAATAAAGAATCTAGACAAAGACCTTACAGTCTTCACAAAAATTATCACAGACCTAAATGTAAGAGGTAAAACTGTCTTCTAAAACTCCTAGAAGATAACATTGGGAAAAAATCCAGATGATCTTAAGTTTGGTGATGATTTTTTAGATATGACACCAAAAGCATGATTCATGATGTATTAAATATATGGGAATTCTCCATACCTTCCGGTCAATTTTGATTAAAACCTAAAACTGCTCTAAAAAATAAAATTGATTTAAAAAATTGCACTAGTGGCAATAACCATAATCATAACCATAATAATATTAATAGTACCAGTGACATTATTGCTACCATTACTAATATCCTTCTCCTTACAGTCTCTCTTCTTTTACCGAAATGTTGACATTCCCTGGAAACACAGTGCCCTTTTTATGCTTCCGTGTTGTTTCACTTTTGCTCTCTCTACCAAGAATGCCTTCTCCTGCTACTCCCACCCCCCTCTTCCTCCTCCTAAAAAACTCTTCCTCATTCATAGTCAAGTTTTAGAGGAAACTTCAACACCCATATGAAGCTGTCTTCAACTCTCCCAGGTGGACTCTGGTATCTGTTCTCTCAGACTCCCATTGCCTCCTTCTTCAGAATGACACTCCAACAGTGATCTCATTACACCATAATTGTTTGCAGGCCTGTCTCCTTTATATTTAAAGCAATGAAGAATTCAAGCCCTTGTTCATTGCTTTGAATGCGTAGCATGGCATTAGAATAAAGAAGATGTTTAATAATTACTAATTGAATGACTACATTAAAGATGCTTCGGGATCAACAGAGAAGCATACAAATACATATACAATTGGAGCAGAATGGAATAATTTTTTTAATTGAAGTCTAGTTGATTTACAATACTGTGTTAGCTTCAGGTGTTTAACATAGTGATACAGTGATTTAGTTATACACATATATTGTATATCTATTTTCTCTTTTATTCTTTTCCATTTTAGCTTATTATAAGATATTAATATAGTTCCCTGTGCTTTACAGTAAATCCTTGTTTATTCTAATCTCATACTCCCAATGTATCCCTCCTCTACTTCTGTGGTCACCGTAAGTTTGTTTTCTATGTCTGTGAGTCTGTTCTGTCTTGTAAATAAGTTCATTAATGTCATGTTTTTACATTCCACATATAAATGATATCCTATCGTATTTGTCTTTTTCTATCTGACTTACTTCAGTTCAGTTCAGTTCAGTCGCTCAGTCGTGTCCAAATCTTTTCGACCCCATGAATCGCAGCACGCCAGGCCTCCCTGTCCATCACCAACTCCCAGAGTTTACTCAAACTCATGTCCATTGAGTCGGTGATGCCATCCAGCCATCTCATCCTCTGTCGTCCCCTTCTCCTCCTGCCCCCAATCCCTCCCAGCATCAGGGTCTTTCCCAATGAGTCAGCTCTTCGCATGAGGTGGTCAAAGTATTGGAGTTTCAGCTTCAGCATCAGTCCTTCCAATGAACACCCAGGACTGATCTCCTTTAGGATGGACTGGTTGGATCTCCTTGCAGTCCAAGGGACTCTCAAAGAGTCTTCTCCAACACCACAGTTCAAAAGTATCAATTTTTCGGCACTCAGCTTTCTTCACAGTCCAACTCTCACATCCATACATGACCACTGGAAAAACCGTAGCCTTGACTAGATGGACCTCTGTTGGCAAAGTAATGTCTCTGGCTTTTTAATATGCTGTCTAGGTTGGTCATAACTTTCCTTCCAAGGAGTAAGCGCCTTTTAATTTCATGACTGCAGTCACCATCTGGAGCCCAAAAAAACAAAGTAAGCCACTGTTTCCACTGTCTCCCCATCTATTTGCCATGAAGTGATGGGACCAGATGCCATGATCTTAGTTTTCTGAATGTTGAGCTTTAAGCCAACTTTTTCACTCTCCTCTTTCACTTTCATTCACTTAGTATGATAATCTCTAGGTCCTTCTATGTTGCTGCAAGTGGCACTATTTCATTCATTTTATGGCCAAGTAATATTCCAGTGTGTGTGTGTGTGTGTGTGTGTGTGTGTGTATACCACATCTTCTTTATCCATTCATCTGTCTATGGACAGTTAAGGTGCTTCCATGTCTTGGCTATTGTAAACAGTGCATACTGTTTACAATGTTTGCTGCAGTGAACGCTGGAGTGCCTGTATCTTTTCGAATTAGAACTTCCATCTTTTCCATATATATGCCCAGGAGTGGGATCGCTGGATCATATGGTAATGCTATTTTTAGTTTTTTGAGAAACATCCATTCTGTTTTCAAGAACAATGTAATTTCTGATGTATAAACACCCCATCCATCTTTAGAAGCCTGGCCTTTGTTCTTCTACTTCTGTGAAGTTTTTCCTAACACCTTCATCTGTGCTTCTGGTAGTAACATCCTGAATAATGTTCGTTCATACATTGTCCTACAACATTCTTTAAATACTTCACTTCTGATCCTGGTTTTCCCAACAAGACTAAAAGTTTCTTACAGATAAGCATCATCCTACATTTAATATAATCTAACATGCCAGTAGCTTACCAGACAAACCACAGCATATGGGCAGTCTCTCAAGACACCAGAATGTTAACTGCTCCCATTAGGCCAAGCCAGATCAGATAAGAACTCTGAAAATATTAACTTTGAAGTTTGGTGACCACTTGAAAAGGATTAGCTGTAAATGCCTAAAAGTCACACTAATACATAAGAACAGTGTTTTTCTAACAACTAGAATTAATAATCTTCAATGTAGTTCTGGTATTTACATTAATTCTTCCTCCATAAAAAATAGGTCAAAACAAACCTTAGATAGGCGTGACTGAGAACAATACTTTAATCAATCACTTCTTTTTTAGTGCCATTTATGTATCTCCTAACTGTCTGATACCATCCTTGCCCTTAGTCTTTGGTTAAAAGGTCAGCCATTTAAATCAGGGCTTTATCCTAATGCAGAGATTTCTGTCTCTCTGTAGCTGCTTCCAAGTCTATGTGTACAGTCTTCATCCTACCTAGGTAGCTACTGGGCTGTCATCCTCTCAAATAATTCCAGCTCCTCCTGTTCCGTGTATTGATAAAATATAAAGAGGTTTTACATAGGCACTCTTAAGTGCCTCCTGTAATTATTTGACACCAGAAATAGCCTTTCTTACTCTTAAATCTGAGTATATGCTTATTCGGCAACATCTCCCCACAATAAACCCTCCCTCCACACACCACCCAAGCTGGGATGGTAGTTTCCTTGAGATCTGGGACTTCTGGTAGGAAGAAAATAATTCCAGATTCAGTACTACCTAGAAAAGTTTTCTCTACAACCTTGACACTGTGACTCTGTGTCTTATGTTCACCCCTTCCATACCCATTATATGAGGGCTCCTCCAGCACAAGAGCGAGCACAGAGGTGGCCAAAAATCCACATATGTTGACATGAACAGGTGAGGAATTGATCAGTCAACAGGTACCTTCAGATTACCCGTAGGCATTTATCCTGTATGTGTTTTTAGCTGTTACGATAGATATGCAAAAACTATATGTAAAGTCTTTAGATTCATGAAGCTAACATTTTATTGAGAACCTACTGGGGCCAAGTCACTCAGTGCCCATCAGAATCTGAGACTTGTGGAAGAGACCTGAAGACAGGTGAACACAGGAAGTATAATACATTGAAAGGGACAGAACCAGTAAAGACCACCACTAGACAGAAAAGAGTTGGTCACGTCTCTGTGGTTGTTCATCATCTCTCTGACAGAGCTCAGCGAGGTTCAGATGGTCGGAGAGGGCTTCACAGAATCTGTGGAAGAACTAGGTGGTTGCTGCCAGTCCCAGGCAGTAAAGAAAGGTTTCATGAAAATGTACTTTTAAATATACATTCTTGTCCCAGCCAAGAGAAGCCTAAAGAGACATGATGATTCTATGTAATATGGTGTCCTGAATGGGATCCTGAACAAAGAAAAAAATTAGGTAAAATCTGAATAAACTATGGACTTCAGTTATCAATACAGTATTACTATTGATTTACAAATTATAAGAAATGTACCATATGAATATAAGATGTTAGTCATAGAGAAATTGAGTTTCAGATATGTGAGAACTCCCTGTACTATCTTCTCAATTTTCCTGGAAGTCTAAAGCTGCTCTGAAAACTAAAGCCTATTTTAAAAGGAAATAAAAGCGGTCATAAAAATCTACAGAATACCCCTGGCATGGTGACAAGGAGGAGTCAGCTTGACAATGACCCTTTTTTGAAAGAAGTGACTTTGTTGTTAAATGCCATGTTTGTGGCTTGATCGTCAATTCCTATAATGATACGGAGTTCTTGCTTGCTTTTCCGTGGTTGATTTTTGGCAGGCAGCAGCAGCATTTGTGCACTGATTATAATTTTGAGATGCATTGTCAGTAACCAGGGTGCATAATGGATCTTCATCTCTAATTACTTTTCTCTCCACAGGTGTCTGGAAAGGGTCCAGATGGGAACACACACAACCTCCGCTTTGAGGGGATGGAGCGACAGTACGCCTCCTTACCCAGGTACATCACCGAGGGGTCTCCCCTCACCTTCCCACCCACACGTAAAGTCTTTAGAAAAATCTCCATGAAATAGAAATCTGGCTTTGAAATGAGGAATATGTTATAATTTTGCCTTACCTCAGCCTGCCGCAACCCTCGTGCCATCCTCACAACTGTGCTAATAATTGAAACACTTGTGGGTTATTTTTTAAGGGACGAAAATAGTATATCATTGCAATTGAACATGTCAGCAAGAATATTGGATTCCAAATGGAAATCCTAAGCCATTGCTATAAAAATGGTATTGAACAGCCTGAACCCAGCTTAGAGACAATAAAATAGTAAATCCTCTGTCCTAGGAATTACCCATGAGGAAGGGCATGCCAGCCTTAACCTTGGAGCTTCCTTGGGTGTTAAAAAGCAGGAGAGAAATGTGACCCTGGGAAGGTGTTTTTCGCTTGATTTAGAACCTGGCTGAGTTCTCTGGGCAAAAGGCAAATATAGCCAAGAGGCCCTGACCTGGTGAGGGGAAGAAACCTCTGGGTGGGAATGTTCGCTTGGCGATTCTGGCCTAACAAAAGCCACTTATGCTATAACTAGACACCCTGAAAATGAGGCACCATTGTCAAAGGTTTGTCCTCTTACTGGGGAGATGAAGAATAATTTTAGTCTGCAATCAGTGACACATGACAATGGAGAAGCCTCTCCAGGATGACGTAGACTTCAGTGACCATGGGAGTTAAGCGAGTTGAGTGTGAGAATGTGTGAGTTTGAAAAACAAAAACAAAGAAATGTTAATGCCAGCCAGAAAACTAAAATATTACAGAATGTCCCCTTTTAAAAAGAGGGGTGCAGGTGGACCCTAAGCAGAGCCTTTCCATCATCAAACTGAGTTGTTTAAGTGCTAGCTCACGGCTGGGTTACCATTTTGAGTTGCGTGTTGACTATATTTCTGTGTGTGAATTGACAAGAATAACATCCTGAATATTACAACAGGCATAGCATAAGTGACCATCTGCTCTTATAAATAGTATGTTGATTTTCAAAGTGATAAAATCTCAAATCTAGCTGAGAACTGATTTTGAACACTGATTGAGCAGGATACCCAAAATACAATATTTTAAAAGCTTCTGTACAACTATATTTTGTCTCCCTGATTTCTCTTTTTATATGTTGTCTCATAGTTATTTTTCTCATCCTCGATTTCTTTCCTCTTCTGATTTTTCCCCCTGGCCTAGTATTTTGTTTTCATTTTAAAAAATAGAAGTAGTCTCCAAAACTCATTTTAAATATAAAATTTCTGGCTTTCAATATTGAAGTGTGTGGAAATTGTGGTTAAGGCAGATGGAAAGTACTGTTCTTAGAAGAAGAAGAAAAAGGAAAACTGGAAACAGTTTAATGTCTTTCCTGGCCAACTTGTACTCAGACTGCGGAAATGGATTTTTTTGGGTACAAATCAAAAGCATAGACATAGCATTTATAAGTACAGAAATTCTGTAAATTTCACTCATTCGTTCCTTCCTCAAGTATCTATGGATCATCTACTGTGTATAAGGCCCTGAGAATCTGGAGACTGGCCCCACTGTCTAGGACAGGAGATAGCAGGTCCACTTTTTGTGAGAGTGCAACCAATGCTTAGATGAGTAATAATGAACATAAAGTTCTCTGAATTTCCAACTCCTTTTTATGTTTACTAATAAGCCCTGAAATGCACAATCATGGCTGACTCTAAACACGTCTGTTTTAGGATTAAATACTGTGGAAGGAGTTTTTTGACAGAGGCAATACATTGATGCTGTTTGTGAATCTGAGGACTGCCATCACAATATATGCATTGACAAAATCCTGCCAGCGTTAAGAATATAACTGTAGCCCAAAGCAAAACATCTTAGACTGAAAACAGTTTTGACAAACAGTCCACTCACACACGTAACACAGTGGCAAAAGTGATGGGCTACAGGTGCCAACGTACCTTTTTAGATTCCTGGTAAGAAAGAGGCATGATGGAGAATAAATAAGGCTCAGACAAGTGCGTAAGCTGTCCCTGGCACTGATTTTTTTTAATGCAGGGGCTCAAACTTGAGTTTCCATATCAACATCTAAGGGGGAGATGCAGAGAATCTCACCCACGTGCTCTAATCCATCGAGGGGGGTCCATATTTACCCAACAAGATGCAAATGCCTAAACAGGAGACAGACTACTGGCTTCTGTGTGCCGGTGACATTTACCCCAACCTGCCCCTAGAGATTTTACTGTCCATTTAATTGAATCACACCAGCTCCACTGCTCCTTTGTCAGGGGAGTGAGGGGACCACATCTCTGCAGGCACCGGATCCCCTCTTAGTCACAGAGGTGGGGAGCTTTAAAATATTTATGGAGCTAAATTTTTATTAAAAATAGGAATAATTCTACTTATAGGAAGTCAGCAGCCAACCTTATTGGGGACTTAACATGGTGCTGACTGATTTGGCTCCTCTGCTGTTTGTGGAGAGCATCACAGGAGTTTTAAGGTGATAGTGTTGATTTATATGCCAGATTTGGAGCCATCAACACAGAGAGAAAATGCCCCCCAGTGCATGGAGTTGGTGAGGAGCCCTAGTCAAGGGGCACCCTGCTGTTTTCATGGAACTCTGTCATTTTAAAGGAGGCCGGTACAGCCTGCTGCCAGGCTCAATGACACTTGACAAAATAACGCCAGAGCCCTAGCCTGCTCAGGAAAAAAGACAATTCCCAGCACTTGGTAGTTATGGGGTTGCCTAAGGCTAAGGGCTAAGCGATATTAAGTGTTATTGTTAAGCAATGTTAAATCTTTTACCTCTGAAGAAAAATGACTTTATTTCTTTTCTCCTGAGGGTGCTGTTTTGGAAAGCAGAGCGTGGTTGTAATACAACCTCATTAGAGAACACCAGGCTTTTCCCAAGGCCGATGTTTTACCCAGGCCATCGGGCCCCCGCTTTTCTTTGGTAGTAAACAGAGGGAAATCAGCCTCCCCCTATTCTTGCCTGACACAAATTATTACTCATCCTGGGTGAGCAGGGAAGTGGCTGTTTCCTGGGCTGCTATAATGTGTGAACAACAACGTATGTATTTTTGCAAACAGCTTCTTTTTCACTTCAGCCTCTCAGCCTCTTTCAATTCTCCCAGGCCCCATTCTGATTTTACAGACCTCCTCCTGGTCCGGCCGTTCAGCAGTAAACTCTCTCCACTCCCATCTCCAGCCTCCGTCATTCCCACCTGGCCCATCCCCGACCCCCACGGGACCCCATTATCCCTTCTCTGCAGATGGCTCCGTGCATCAGCACATGATGTTGCTCTTCCGGTCTTGTGATCAAGTGTTGAGTCCTGAGGAGGGAGCAAAAAGGCTTTCCATCTCTTCTGTGGTCCTGCATGCAAGGGCGATGAAAGGCTGCTGGAGAAACTCAGAAAAGCGTTCATTGGTTCCACTACAAAATTCACATTATCCAGCCCCAGCTGGGCCCCTGCTGCTGTCCAGAATTCCTTTTAGTCGTGCTGTCAACTCCCTTGACTGTCCCACAGTGGCCGTTCCAACCCTTTTCTGCTCCCGTTAAGTTCTGCAAAGATGACTAAGCCCCCCAGGCCCAGTCTCTAGAGATGATCTCACTTCCTTTTCTTTACGACCTTGAGCCATTCAACCTTAGTTCCTCAGCTTCAGCTCCCTGCAATTCAGACTCGCTCTGTCTTCACCAACACATGCTTCCCAAGGGGAGATGTGAAGGCATGGACTTGGAGTCAGGCCATAATTATAGCCCCATCCATCACTTCTCACCTATGGGATCCTGGGCAAGGGTCCAACTGGTTCAGGCTCAGTTTTTTAATCTGCAAATTGGGGACGATATTAGGGACTCTGTATAATGCTTGTATGAGCATTAAATTCAGTGATTCGAGCAAAACTCTTAGTGAAGAAGCTGGCTGACATATTTTAAGGATTTGGTTTTTTAATATTGTTAGTTCTTTTTAATTTTCTCTCTGGGAATGACCGTTCCCTTTTTTAATGAGTCAGACCTGCATAGCAGAGCTCATTCTCACTAGCTTTTCAGGGACCCTACATCATCAACTACCCCTCTCTCGGCTCTATCATTAAGCCCTTGGCAGTGGCTTTCCTCCCTCTGCTTAGGACGGTGAATGCAGAGTCTCAGCTGCGCAGTTCGCTGGGAGCTCCTCAGAGTGTGGAAGAGGAGAGCCACTGGCTCAGGAAGATATGTGGGGGCATAACTGAGGCTGAAGGATCAGCCAGCTCTTAGAGAAAGACCCGAAGTCCAGATGCTCATGAAGAGGACATTACAAACTAAGGTGGCCTGCTGGGAGACAGCCGTTCTTATAGACAGGGAGCTCACATCAGGGGCGTGGGAGCTAACTCAGGTCTAGGTAAGAGGCCACGGCCCCTGGCCAACAAGGCTTAGATTCAGACCCAGCGTCTCCTGAGTGGTGGAGCCCCACCATTGTGAATTAGCCAGCAAGGCTGGACGCGATGCTCCTGTCGCAGGACTGGTAAGGGAGGGGCCCGCTACTGACCGGTGGGGGAACGTCGTGGGATATGACAGAGGTGCTCCTGTCGGCTCAGACCTGACACGCTGACCAAGCCTCCAACTGTCAGGACTCATAGCTGAGCCAGGCTCAGGTGGCAGACCGACCCCATGAACTTGATTTTATTCCATCAGAGAAAACACAAATCTTCCCTCTACCCTCCTTCCTCCTCAAATTCTCATTTTCCTGCTTTTTGGGGAAAAAAAATTGGCTCTCTTTCCACAGCAGCCTCTGAACTCTCACCTCTTGCCCCAGGCTTCTGACCATGCCACCGATTCACCCAGCTGACTCTGCCTCCAGTTCTTTTTTTTTTTTTTAATATTGGAGTGTAGTTGATTTACAATATCGTAGTTTCAGGGGTAGAGCAAAGTAATTCAGTTATACATAGATTTATTCTTTCTAGCCCTGTTTTCTATATAGATTCTCTCTGAACTGCCGTCTCCATTCTCTTTTTTTTAAACTTTAATTTTTAAAT